GATAGCGCACCCCATACCATATTGGTGCCACCCCTATGCTTTACAGTCAGCAAGAGGCAGTCAGGTTAAAACGCTTCTTTGGGCATTCTCCAAACATAAACACATCCGGTCCTCTGAAATAGGGTGCATGACGATTCATCTGACCATATTACCTGCTACCACTGCTGTGGGGGCCAGGCTTTGTGATCTCTGCACCATTTGCGTCGCTGGAAAGCATTAGTTGCTGTCACCAAGGGTTTATGAATTGCCACTCTGCCATAAATGTTCACAGCATAATGTTCCCTTTTGACAGTTTTGTTGAAACGGGGTCCTGGAGATGACTGTTCGGATCTTATCTCGGATAACAATTGCTTGTGCTTTCGGGCTACTATGCGCTTCAAGACCCGTCTATCCCTATCACCCAGCTTTGACTTTCAGACACTGTTATGCTTTGAAGACGTCGCCTTACACCTCTTTTCATGTATGTTATGGCATAACGGCTGATACAGTACTCCTTGCACACACCACAAGGTTTGCTATTTCCGTAACCGATACTCCACTTAAACGCACTCCAACTATCATTGCTCTTTGAAACTCTGACAGGTCTGACACTTCAACTTCTCACAGACAGTTCAATCAAAGCATGTAATGCAGGTGACTGCTGTTGAGAGACTGATATCTTCCTCTTCACGCTAACTAGGTGGCAAACTTCTGTTGCAGTTGTCGCGGCTGTACTGCAGGTGTGAAATATGTCATACTTTTTCACAGGTGTTCACATTATTTTGTCCTTCATCTTATGTCTCAGTGGTATTACATCAGTGTTTCTAAAATTGTGCTCTCATTACATATACAATACAAAGTCCATAATCCAGACTTGTCGTGAGTTCAGCGATTCTGGATTAGGGGTTATTCCGGATTATAGATCATCAATTTAAATCTGGTGGGATAGCATGCAGAAATTATACAATTAAAAATATAAAACCGTAAGTTAAGAAATAAAGATCAATTATGATCTAAAGGGTATCAAAATTTACAAGGGAAAAAAAAAAAAAAAAAAAAAAAAAAAAAAAAAAAAAGGAGCTTAGTATTTATTTGTTTACTTTATTAAACATTTCTTTAAATGTAAGTTGTTTAAGTTGCTTTGTTTTATGTGCTAATACTTTCTCTTTAATTCTATAAACAGACATAAACTCTTGTTCAGTTACAAAGTTCCACTGTTCAAGACCTATAATGGCTGTGTCGAGAATACTGACTAACTTGTCAATCGAAATTTTTTCGTTTTCAATAACCTTTCTGTCACTTTCTTCACTATCTGAAGCAGTATTTTCTGGATCTAGGACCATATTACAGATTTCGCCGTCCGTTAATTGATTGATGATTGGGGCATTTTCGTCGCAATAAAAAACTTCTGTTATATAATCTTCATTTATTACCGCTTTTCCACATTTCTTTGCAAAATCCAATAACTGGAAAATTTCACCTTTAGTTTGCAATGCCAAAAACCTTGAAATTTGTGGCTATCATCTTCATCGTGCTCACCATGAAACATGGTAGCTGGCCATAAATTATGCCAAGCATTTCTTAACGTATCTGGAGACACATCCTCCCAACGCACATTATGCATACGCGTAAAGCATACAAAAAAAAAAAAAAAAAAAAAAGTTTGTGGCTTTGAGGTCCGGATTATAGATTATTCCATATAATGGACGTCCGTATTACGGATTTTGTACTGTATATGTAATATATTCAGGAGCAGGAATTTGGAGCAGTAGTAGTGTTGATCCACAATGACTAGGAAATTGGAGGCGAATGCAAATTTAAATCTTCATTTTTTTATTTTAGCAAACATCTTGCAGCAGCAATCAAGTGGCACATTAATTGTGCCTATTCCAAGAGATTTTACATTTTAGATAAATTTACAACAAGAAGGAAAGAGCAGACAGATTGCAGTGCAGCCAGGACAAAACATAGAAGGCAAGTGTGTATTGTTCAGGATGAAATCTTACGTCAAACTGAGTTAGTTTTGGTTCTCAAAGCATTTTGATTGGACAGGTAATATTGCTGTAAAATTTTTATTGGCTGGTTGAGTTTTAGTTCCATTTACATCACCATAATTACGTAAGAATCATATGACATAGATTTTTCGTGAAATGACGCAGTGAAAATAGAGGTTGCTATTTTTAGAATACCGACTAATTCGTCAATCGAAATTTTTTCCGTTTTCAATAACCTCTGTGTCACTTTCTTCACTATCGGAAGCGAATCATAATGACGAGGAACTTGATTTAAATCATATCAAAGACGGAGTACATCGAGATGAAATACTACATTTAGTAAGGAATTATAAGCCAAATAAAATAAAAACATGTGCTCTGAAGATAAGATAAGGATAGTGCTGACAGATCAACTTCCAATTCATTGCGCGCCGCGGCATCAACGCGACGCATGCGCAGAAAGTTTGTAGCTTTGAGATCCGGATTATGGGTGTCCGAATTAACGACTTTTGACTGTAGTATATAAGTCCAGTTCAACTGACTTCGGCAGAGAGAATGAGAATTCCTGAGTAGCGCTTGTTTGCCTTTGAACTACATCTCTCTAAGCTGTTATTCGCTCGGCCATATAATGTGCCTTTTGATAGTTCGCTGGCTAATTTAACACTGCGGGCCAACTAACTGGCTAAATCTCTTAAGTTAGTTCTTATTTCTTATATTTTGAGTTTAAGCACAAGTGGAGGCTTTGCTGTAGGCCCTGAGAAAGGAGCCGACTGTTAATCTTATTTTGAGTGAAATAAAGGATAATTAACCCTTCTTGAGTTTACGTTTCTGTTCTTGGACTTCAGCGATTATTCGCTTAATAGTTCACTAGGCTCCTCGACATTACATTTAACAGGATAAAAGTGAGGAACTCTATAAATTAATCTACACGTGAACTTCACTTTTCCAATTTGTAAAAATAAAATAAATCTGTAATTAGGATACATTATTATTAAACATAATCTAATATTTAATTTAATTACAAAACAAATTCAAGAATAAAATTAACTTAAAAAATTTTCAAGTAATTAGCATTAAATTATAAAACTTCTTGAAACATTTATATTTTACATTTATAATAATCCCACATATTTTAAAGATTAGTGGCATTTTACTTTAATTTTGCCAACAGTGCTTTATGAATTCTTTCTTTTAAGCTTCATTCCATCATGTACTCACTCAGTCCGGAGGTATATGAAAATTTTATGTCAAGTGGCCGAAGTTAAACTCTGGAGTAAAATAATTGTTATGAATCAGCATGAATTATAACAGAAGCCTGAATATTGCTACTGATGTTGCTTGCTTAGAGGTAGAGAGTGACTGATTAGAACAGACATGATTGCCTGACATTGGTTAAGTGTTGAAAGTTAGTTGCACTTTATCTGACCCAGTTAATGTCATAGCTTCATGTAGATTTGCTAAAGTTGTAACTCAGGTTAATCTACAGTATTTAATATAAAGTTCCAATAAGCCACTGAAGAGATGATAGGTTGTTTTGAATTATTTTAAGTCTTATGAACTGTAAGGAAAAATTTTTTAAATTAATTTTCTCATTTTTGTGTTGCATACACAATTTATTCTGTATGCAACACAAAAGGAGTAATTTGTGTATGCAACCCAAATTACAAAAAGGAGATAAGTTCACCTTAACATGTAGAGATAACTTATAAAGTTTAGAAGTTAATTACAAATAATTATATTGCATAGTTACATACTGTTAGTCATAAAAGATTTACATAGTTACAATTACAACTTTTTTTTATTTCTAAATAATATGCATTAGAAAAGCACTACAAACATTTTACGGCAGTTATAATTTATGATAATGATTCTAAAATGATAGTAATATAACTATCCATTAAAAGCTACAAAATACAAAGACAAATTACATTAATTTTCAAATAATAACAGTAGCAATTTTATTTTTTCTAAAAAGTATTTTGAAAAATGTGCTGACATTTATTATCTTGTTATTTTTCAGAATCAAATATTTTTAAGTCACCAAAATGGAAAATAATGTTGCTTTAAAATATGGCTGGAGAAAATAAAAATGTTTTTTAATGTTATTTCTTAAATATAATTTTAGTTTATTATTATTTATCAGGCTTTATGTTGTAAAAAAAAAAAAAAAAAAAAAAAAAAAAAAAAAAAAAAAAAAAACGTCAAAAATCTTACAAATTTCTGAATAAAAATTTTGTATACAAACTAATTTTGAAAACACAAAACATAGTCACCAAACTTAGCACTATGTAATTAAAGAAGTTATATCTGAAAAAAGGAACAGTTGTTTATGAGGTAATATTTTATGAATTCTTCATCTGCCCCCCCAAAAAAAGTGTTTATGTTTCAATCGAAGCAGGGTCTTCTATCTAAAACTCAAGTATTTCCCATTTATATTAAGAAGTAGGAAAGAACTCAAAAGTTAACCCATCAAATACATATTTGTCAAGGCATCGCCAAAAAATATTTCTCCAAAATATTAATTCACACTCTAAACGGCAGTCCTAAAAAAACAGACAGAAATGTCAAATGAGTACATCAAGGACCTTTTGATGGTTTTGGCTAAAATGAAGGATTTTTTTTTAAGGACCAAATATTGTTTCGAAAAAATCTAAGGACTTTTTAAGTACTTTTAAGGAGTGTATGAACCATGTAAAATTTGATATAAAAAGACATTTAACATTGAAAAACTGCATAAGTTTTGTTTCAGTATCATCATTTCTCGTTGTCTTACCAGTTTTCACATCTCTTTCATGATTCGAGTACCTGATGCTTATCAAGACCACCACTATTTTATTAAAAGTTACAATTATTTTATGCCTAATTACATAGCATTATTTTATGATGTCTTTAATCGGTATTTAAATTTATTTTGGAAGTTTGATGATATTAAAAAACTACAATTGTAAGATGTATTTTCCTTTATCTAGTACATTAAAATTGCTCTTAACTTTAAAAAAAAGAGAAAAAAAAAAAAAAAAAACTTACTTCTAAATTACCAATATTTGGTGATGTACAAACATCATTTGAGGAATCACTTATTTCGAAACCATTTATATTTGAAGCTTCATTATCAGAGATGGGTTCCACTTTGACTATACGTGGATGACTAATATCTGTCTGAGAAAAATGAGGGAGAAAGAGATTAAAAACTGACATTATAATGATAAACCATGTTTTAAAGAACCGAGAATCAAAATATCATAAAAAGACTGAAAGTTAAGCTTGACTAATACCTTCACTTGAGGGAAAAAAATATATATATATGCTGTTTCATTTTTCTATTACATTCTGACATACTGAAAACTAACAATATACGAAGAAGGTATTTCAAGTGATTTTCCTATACTCATACATCTAATCAAAATAATAGTATAAAAACATTTTAAAAACTCATACATACCTTTTAAACAGAGAAGTTACATCAGAAAAATTTATATTTTATCTTATATTCCATATCTATAATGGCTAGCTACACTGGTAAAATGAATTAAGAGAATTTACATATACTATTATCGAATTACATTAAAAGAATTGAACTGAAGGAAAAACCCTGCTTCTAGATAAAAATGCAAATCTTAAATGGCAAATACCTAAGCATACATGTGTATGTAGACAGAGCCAGCAGAAAAACCGGCTTTATAAGCGCATGGAGTTACCTTGCAGCAATCGGCTAAATTTACATCGGAACAGTAAAAATTAATAACCACCAACGTTTAGGTGATGGAATGAGGTGGCGAACTGTGGGGAGGCTAGAGGCAGGCCAATCGTTAAGTCCAGATATGCAGAGAGTTTAATTGACCGCCCACCATCGTGTGTAACCTATAGAAACAGTTCCAGGATACTAGATCCATCGAGAGAAAGCCTGGGCAAGGTCGTCCAAGAGCCACAACAGCCAGAGAAGATCGCTATTTGTCCATTTTGGCATGGCGTAACAGAGGGAAAGCTTCTCACTCTCACGACCTGTGCAGCTACAGAACCGGGTACAGGGTGAATGTTTCAAAAGAGGAACAGGTTGTTGCCAGAAGACCGGCTGTTGCAATCCTGCTCACATCAAGGACATGAAGACCGATTCGGATGTGTAGGTAGCATGTGATTGAGTACAAGCAGTAGCGACGAGAGTCCCTTTTACCTAAACACCGATTTCGCCGTACTCATATGGGAGAGCCAGGGGACCTTCTACTACCCTCCAATGTCCGAATAACAATTATGGGGTGGCGTTAATGTCTGGCAGGCATCATTGGATGGCGCACACATCTTCAGTCTTGACAGAGGCTCTGTGATGTGACGGTATAGGGATGAGATCTTGGAGCTAATGTTGCCTTTTCCGGGGTGCGGGCCCGAGTTCATCTTACAGGACGATAACACAAGGCCACATAGAGCTCTTCTGGATGACGAATTTCTCGAGAGTGAGGATATTCGCCGGATGGATTGGCCAGCCAGGTCTCCAGACCTCAACCCTATAGATCTCTAGAGCATGTCTGGGACGCTCTGGGGAAGGCAACTGTAACTCGCAACCCCCTCCGAGAACCATCCAGGAACTGAAAACAGCGTTGCTAAATAAGTGGGACCAACTGCCAAACTGCCTTATTTCCAGTATGACATCACGCTGCAAGGCCTGTATGGTTGTAAGAGGGGACCACATCCACTATTAGCCCATTTCTTTTGTGTCTTCTGCAGTCGCTGTTTCAGACCTTCAGACTCCCATGTGTGTTACACACGAACATTTGAGTCTATTATAACTGTTGAATGTTTCTTTTGTTTGTATTATATAAACTTATGTTTACACCAAATTTTATTAAAATCTGTCCAGTAATTCTGGAAATCATAGATCAAATATGAAAATTTTCTTAATTTCTTACACCAGTGTACATTTTAAAATTTTTAAAGTGGAACTTAGGTTAAAATTACGGTTCTCACTATTACAAACTCCACAATGTGCAAACGCCCACTGAAACATTACAAAAGAAGTATAAAGTTTCAATAATTTATATACAAGACACAGGAAAAGATATCATGGTGAAATCTGAAAGGAAACATGCAAATATGCAATCTTTCCCCACACAGTGACACAGATAATTATCATATGCTATGTGACTTATCCCAGTAGTTTCAAACTGGTGGCTACAAAACACTTTTATGCAGCTTGAAAATACATTTCAATTACATATTTGTTGCAAAGATTTTAAGATCTTAATTATTTCAAGTCCGAGTTTATTAATGTAAACTTAGACTTTTCATTACTATTAAAAACTACCGTGAATAATGCACCAGAAAATTTATAAACTGAGTTAATTAATTTATAATGTATTATAAATCTTATTCAAAGAAATAAAGATACATATTTGATTAAATTTTGTTCCTACTTGTCATAAAATAAGGATGCTCACTTACAGACTTTTTCACTAAGATTAATTGCTTTGTTTGGAAATATATTAATACGTGAACAGCTTTTTTAACAGCCTTTTCAGTTGAAAATTAAAAAAAAAAAAGGAACCCAACTGAGCAGTAAACATCTACAATCCACGAGGAAGATTATTTCTGGAAAGTTTTCATGAACAATTTAGAAAATTTTTCATAATTTGTTTGTTTTAAATTTTAATTATGATATGTTATTTAACAATTAATTAAACATAATAGAATTATTTGAAATAAATGTCAGCCTGAAATATAAATATTTAGTTATCATTTTAATTACAAATTATCATAATTTTAATTACAAAGTGTAAACAAAAACGTCTCGCAGGTACTAAACATTAGATTTCAGAGAGAAAGTAAATATAATTTTTCATTTTTATCTCCTTTGCATTATTATTATTGTTATTGGATATGAATGTTTTGATAAATCTTTAGTAAGTGAAATTTAAAATGTAGTTGAAATATTTTTTATTTTGTTGATTAAAAATTTTCATTTTCAGGGGAAAAAAAAAATCTGGCTACTCCCCTCCCCTTCCAGATTCTGCATTCCATTCCGCTCACATGTAATTTGAGTTTGAGACTACTGACTTAATTAAATATATAGCCATGATTTGCAATAAAAAATATTTGTTTTCTTTCTACATAGAAAAACTGCTTATTTAGCTCCAAAAATAACTACAGTTTGCAGAGAATAAATTTTAGCCATTTGCACAAAATTTTCCAAACTGTAGGCTGGGGAATCTGAAGCTCAAGACTTGTCTGTTTGTTGATTTCTTTACATCAGTTTGAAGGCACTATGAATACATTCTATGAGTTTACTTTTCAAATATTTGAGGTCACTCAGAATTCTGTTCCTCTGCCTAAACGCCATATACAGTCAAAAGTCTTTAATTCGGGCACCCATAATCCGGACCTCAAAGCTAAAAACTTTTTGCGCATGTGTCAGGCGTTTACGCGTGCGCGTAAGACCTTTACGGCTGCGAATATGCGT